GACATGGGGGAAGTTTCTGGCAGCTGCTCACAGAACCCAGCCCTGGATTCCCCCTGCTACCAAAACCTGGCAAACCCAATACACTGCCCAGCATGGATCACCTGGAACGTGGGTCACCAGGTCTGTGCCCAGCATGAATCGCAGTTGGGTCACTCGTAGGGCTTATTATGGACACAAGACTCCAAGTGACTTCTAGAGATGGACTTGGGCAGGAGGAACCCTCAACCCAACGCACTCACACCTTGTTTTCCCCCCCACAGTAGGATTTCTCCTTCCCAAACCTTGGCCAGATGGAGGAGAAGGATGCAAGGAAGAGGAAGATGCCCCGGGCCCCCCAGGCAGGTGAGGAGGAAGTCAGTGCCCCTTTGCCCCTGTCTTGTCCTGGATCTCCCAGCCGAGCATCGCCCCCGGCTGCAGGACAACCCCGCTGCCGCCGCCGTCCTGCCGGGGATGGATTTGGGGGGATGTCCTTGGCCTTCCCTCTGGGCCGGAGGCAAATCCCCTCCCTGTCCTTCTTCCTTCCTGCCCCAGGCCCCGAGCTGAGGACGGAGAGCCCGGAGGACAAATCCCCCCAGCAGAGCCTGGTGGGAGAGGCCGTTTTGAAGGGCTCCACGGCGCAGGAAGGCAGCGGGGAGGAAAAGGCCCAGAGATCCCCCCGCAGGAGGGGCTCCAAAGCCAGCCCAGGGTGCTCTGAGGAGGAAAGAGCCAGCCTGGGCCGGGAAGGCGGCCGGAGCTTGAGCCAGAGCTGCGGCCTGGAGGTCCCTGAGCAGCCTCCCAGCAGGGAGAAGCCCTACAAATGCTTGGAATGTGGGAAGACCTACAGCCGGAGCTCCATGCTCCTCACCCACTGGCACACCCACACGGGGGAACGGCCCTACACGTGTGAGGAATGTGGGAAGAGCTTCAGTCACAGGTCCAGCTTTATCCGCCACCAGAACATCCACACCCGAGAACTGCTCTACAAGTGCTTGGAATGTGGGCAGGTCTTCAGCCGGAGATCCCACCTGATCGACCACCAGATGATCCACACCGGGGAACGGCCCCACAAGTGCTTGGAATGTGGGAAGACCTTCAGGCGGAGCTCTCACCTGATCGGCCACCAGCGCAGCCACACGGGAGAACGGCCCCACGAGTGCTTGGAATGTGGGAAGAGCTTCAGCGACAGCTCCACCCTCCGCAACCACCAGCGCATCCACACCGGAGAACGGCCCCACGAGTGCTTGGAATGTGGGAAGAGCTTCAGCTCCATCTCCCACTTCGTCTTGCACCAGAAGACTCACACTGGGGAACGGCCCTACAAGTGCTCGGAATGTGGGAAGAGGTTTCTGACCAGCTCACATCTCCTCAGGCATCAGCAAATGCACACGGAGGAGAGGCCCTTCCGCTGCACCGACTGCGGGAAGAGCTTCAAGGACAGCTCCATGCTCGTCGACCACCAGCGCATCCACACTGGGGAGAGGCCCTACAAGTGTGGGGAGTGTGGGAAGAGCTTCATCCGCAACTCCCACCTCGTCAGGCACCGGCGCGTCCACAGCGGGGAGAGGCCCTACGAGTGTGAGGAGTGTGGGAAGAGCTTCACCCAGAGCTCCAACTTGACCACACACCAACGGACCCACCAGAAGAGAAGCCCTGTGAGCGCCTCGACTGCGGGAAGAGCTTCATCTGCTGCTCCAACTCCATCAGCCATCGGAGGACCCACGTTGGATGATCCACAGTGACCCACACTGGGCACAGACCTGGTGACTCACATTCCAGGTGATACACATTGGGAAGACGTCTGGCAGGTGGTCTCCCTGTGGGCATCTGGATGAAGGCAGGGGGAGGAACATTCATCAGGACGCAGACTAAGATTGGAAATTCATTGGGAAGAGCAAATTTGTTGACTTTAGACCTGTGGCAGGACATCTCCCCTGGGATGTCCAAGCAAACTATGCCACGGCCCGGTGGGGTGAGGAATAGGGATGTGACACTGCACAGAAGGGTCTGACAAGATAGAAGGTCGGGGTGCAATGGCCACTTTATTAAGGGAGGACTGGGACTTATACAGGGTTTGGCTGAGGGAGGTTCAGTAACCAGGGCGGAGCATGAGACGGACACTTCAGGGTGTAACAGGATGGGAGAACAAAGGGAAAGGAGGGAGGAACTGGGGAGGAGTTGGGAGTCAAGGTCCAGTGGGAAATACATTAAATGGGGTTCAGAACAGGGATATAAACATGAAAGTCCATAGGCTGTCATCTCTTCAAGCACCATACAGGTCCCTCCGTGCCTGGAAGTGTTGCCATTCCGATTCTTGTTCCTCCAGATCTCCCCCTTTTTTGTTTTCTTGAGGGGTTGACAGGAACACGGTCTTTGGTGTAAGTCTTTTACACGTGGCTATAACACAGCAAATGGTTAATAATAACACAAAGAGAGTAAACAAAACTCCAAAACATATTAATAGAATCTGTTTAACCCAGTTGGGTAAATTGGGTGAGCCTAGTTTGTCGAATAAATCGTCGGTAAATGCTTTGGGGGAAAATTTAATGTCATTAATCAGAGCACACAATGTGTTAATACCTTGGAATACCGACTCAGAATGATCAGAAAAATTCAAACAACACATTCCCTCAAAGTCTTGACATCCATGGCCATGCATTAATCATAGGAAATCTATTGTGGCCCTGTTTTGAAGGGACACCTCTTTTAATTTTTGGGTGTCTCTAACTAAGCCTTCTGGGGCGATGCCGGTCGCGTTGGCCAACATCCCATGCGTGTCAAGGTATTGAGGGCACGTGAAGCTCCTACCCCTGAGATTATAAAGGAACTAAAATAATTGCCAGTAATAGACCAAAGGTCGATATTGGGGTCGCAATCTTCAGGAATTTTTGGGATAGGGAGGACTCCTGCTGGAGGGCGCGAGGCTCCGGGGGAAATTAGGGCGATTTTTGATGAGGTTGAAGAACTTTCTTTTGCCCATTCAAGGGGAGACTGGGGGGTAGGATAATTGAGAGGGTCTTTCCTGTAGGACTCAATGGCCTGGCCATGACCTAATCTCCAATCACTTTTCGGAGGGGGCTGAGTTGTGGTAAGTTTTTTAGTGGTAACAACTGGTTTCTTAGGAGTGATATATAGACTTGGTGGTTGGGGGGTGAGAGGCTTCACCTCCGGCCCTACTGCAGGGTATTTCACTTTTAGAATATCTTTGACAGTAGGGTTCTGGGTATTTCACTTTCAGAATATCTTTGAGAAGAGGGTTCTGCATTTTTATCAATTCAAAGTCCCGTTTCTGCCGAATCAGGGTAGCGGGTTTTTCATTAATTCATTTAAATTTGAGAGGATGGAACAAGGTAATTTGACCTGTGGTGCAGGGCCCTCCAGTGGGGTATGAAGAGACTCCAATCCACGCTCTTTCTCCACATATTAAGAACTTTCCCTGGGACAATGCACTAGGCTTAGAGCCCACTGATTCCCTAGTGATTATCTCTGGTGTAGTGTTGTTGCACCACAGGGAAGTGTCTTTGTATAATTCTTTAAAAGGGGTAACATCATTTTTCTTGATTCGGGAAGTAGAGCGGGACACAAATTCAAAGCATTGATTTGCAATTACTGATCCTGGGGTCTCAAATTCCACAGGCTCTTCTTCAGTACATGAGGGAGACTCAAAATAATCTTTTAAATTATCATTGAGGGGAAGACCAACCAAACATGTCTGGAACAAGTTATTGACATTGTTAATAGAGAGACATAGAACATCATTATTGGTTTCTAGTTTCACCCAGATGTTCTCGGGTTGCTGGTGTGCCCAAACTGGAATGGCTGGCGCGGGTTCCGGTGCTGTGAGGATTATTATGATACCGAGGGAGATGACGGATGTGGTCCACATGTTGTTCCTTGAAAGATTTTCACTCGTCTTGCTGGGACCCACTTGGGTCCAGTCTCTGCAGAAATGCAGGCATAACCTTTCCACCAGGTAATCAGGGGAAAGGGGCCTGTCCACTTGATCTTTATAAAGTATTTTTGCCTTTTTTGGGCCTTGCGCATTCTCTGTATTAAAATGTCTTTCTACAGGACTTCTGCTTATGGGCATGTCAGGTTCCTCCAAAATGTTTAAAAAATGTAGGACGTACATAGTTTTCTCCAATCTTTCCTGAGGAGCCGTACCCATACTCCCCCTTTTTTGTTTTCTTAATAAATTTTTTATATTTTGGTGGGCACGCTCTACAATACCTCGCCCTGTGGGGTTGTGAGGAATCCCTGTGGTACGGTGAATACCCCAATCACTAAAAAACTTTTTGGTTTCTGTAGACGTATAGGAAGGGCCATTATCCATCTTTATTTGCTTTGGGACCCCCATTCTCAGATAGGAAGCGTTTCTTAATGTCTTTACTCTTTTCACCGGAAAGATCATTTTTGAAGATGTGTCCATGGACACATGTACATATTTTAGTCTCCCGAATTCCAGCACATGCATAACATCCAACTGCCAAATTTCCCACGGCTCCAGCCCTCTGGAATTGGTTCCTTCTGAGGTGAGCGGAGCAACCGCTTGACAGTCAGAGCACACCTTTAAGATTTCTTCTGCTTGATTTAACTTAAACCGAATTTTTTCTGTAGGGTTCGCGCATTCTGGTGAAAAAATTCATGAGAGATTTTTGCCTGTTGATACAAATTTGGTATTGCAGCCACATCTGCCAGTTTTTCAGCAATTTGATTCCCCTTCGCCACAGGGCCTGGTAGCACAGTGTATGTACAATGTAGTATACAAATCTTCTACTGTGGATCAAGGATGATAATTCATTTAGCAATTCAAACAAACTTCTGTTTGAAACTTCTTTTAGGTAGGAGCTTTCAATTCTTTTCACAATGCTCACAGCATAGGCCGAATCAGACACGTTGATTGCTTCATTTTGGAAGATTTTAAAGGCGCGCACAACCGCTGAAAGTTCCATGATTTGTGGTGAACCTCGTACCTTGTGGATGTCTTGCTGCCAATGGTCGTTCTCCAGCCAATGGAGAATCGGACCCATCAGTGAAAAGTGTTTTAGCCCCCCTTATGGGAATCTCTGATTGAACAATCTTTCATTTCAATGGGATTTGTATTAACCTTTGGATAAATTGACGCGCCGGGAGGTGAAATTTTATCTCTCCTGGGTATCCACTGATGGCAGTTTGGAAATCTGTGGAGGTTTGCAGCAGTTGTTTGAGCTGCTCAGAGGTCAATGGGAGGTAGACACGATCTGCTTCACTTCCATTGAGCTCTAAGCTTCTCATGCACCCTTTGAAAATCATCTTGCCAATCATCTCTGCTACATCACAATAGCCTTTTGAAATTGGTGTGGGAGGAATATCCATTCCCATAAGTAGAAGTCCTTGTCATTAGCTGAGAACTGGCCTAAGATGGCCAGTGGCTGCTGGGTCTCTCTGATGATCACTAAAGAAGATGGCAGTCCCTCCATCTCCCTGTTTGCTTGGTGTCTGGATATTTTTTCCTCAACTATGGAAAGGGCTTCTTCTGCTTCCATAGTCAAGGATCTAGGGGAGGAGAGATCTGCATCTCCTTTTAATAACCCAAACAGGGGGTGTAAATCACTGGTTGTGATTCCCAGCACAGGACGCATCCAGTTAATTGCTCCCAACAGTTTCTGGAGATCATTTAGGTTTCGAATTTTTTTGTCGATTGCAACTGATTGTGGCCTGACAGATTTCGCGTTAATTTGGAGTCCAAGATATCTCCAGGGTGCTTCTCTTTGCACCTTCTCAGGGGACATTTCTAATCCACGTGAGTTTAGCGCCGAAACCGTGGAATTTAAGGTTTTTTCGACTGTTTTTGCACAGATCAAAACATCATCCGTATAATGGAAGATGATTGATTGCGGAAATTTTCGCCTGGTTGGAGCTGGAATTTTTGCAACAAACATCTGACAGAGTGTTGGTGAATTTCTCATCCCCTCAGGGAGCACCTTCCACTGGAACCTGCGGTGGGGTTCACAAGTGTTGATTGCCGGGACCGAAAACGCGAATTTGGCCAAATCAATCTGATTAAGAAAAATATGAAAGAAGCAGTCCTTTATATCCACCACAACCAGGGGCCATTCAGCAGGGAGCATGGATAGAGATGGCATTCCCTTCTGGAGGGTTCCCATAGGTTCTAGGACTTGGTTAACTTTGCGCAGGTCCCGGAGAAATCTCCAGGAACCTGAAGATTTTTGGCTGACAAACACTGCAGTGTTCCAGGGGCTGCTGGAAGGCTCCAGGTGTCCTTCAGCCAATTCTTGATCTACTAATTGATTTTAGAATTTGCAGCTTTTGTTTGGGCAAGGGCCACTGATCTACCCAAACTGGAATTTCCGTTTTCCGGGTGAGTCTGGGCAGCTGCATCTTTTCAGTGATCCCCCCTAAAAAATTGTCTCAAGACCCAAATGCCATTGTTCCATGGAGTCCCACCCCCACGGTGTTACTGATATATTAAGAACGTAAAGTCAGAGAGATGCAGGTCTGCCCTCTGGTCCATATATGTTGCCAACCTCCTGACTTCAGACTGGCTGCTGGGAGCCACCCACTCCACTGACTTGTGTGTCCGTGGGGTGAGCTGACCAGCTGGACGGCCAGTCCCGGGATGTGGGAGCCCAAACCCAGCTTTCAGCAAAAGGAAAACAAGGCTGACAAACACCTCGTGATTCAAGAAGTTTGGACCCCTGTCCTGAGACCTGCTAATGTGCAACCCGGAGATATAAACCTGGCTCCAAGAAGAATTAAGAAAGGACTTTTTGAGGTGATTGTTAAAATCATGTCTAAACCCCTGTAATCCCTCTATCCCCCATGTAATCCTACTGGAAGAAAAAATAACTATTTGGAAACTACAGCAAAAGTTTGTGTAACTCCCCAGTTAACATAGCCGTCCCCTTCATTAACATGTCCAGCCAGAGATGCCTTTAAATTGTGTTCTCGTGCCCAATAAAGGATTCCAGTTCCTCCATAACTGGGATCGTTTTTAGCTTTTATTTTCCAGACTGCCACTCCGGGAGGCAATGATTGTTACATCCTCCCCTGTGTCCAGCGAGCCCACCACCTCAACCTTTTGGGGATTCCGCGGCTCTGGAAAGCAAATGAGACGTGTTAGAAAAGG